TTCTGTTTTGTATGTATAGAAATGGTTCTATATTAATGAAAACCTCTGATTTCGAATAAAAAAAAATTTTCAACTCTCATTAATTGGATCTTTAGCTCAAATGGTAGAGCAATTGAGAGTACCATGGTACATCTCAAGAGATGGTGGTTCGAATCCACCAAGGTCCTAATCCATCATGAGGTGCATTCTGTTTCTTATTTTGTGTTAAAGTGTGTTATTATCTCTACATACGTCAAAAGTGCTTTACCTATGTTTTGGCTTGGAAGAAGATTTTTAACGGTTGATAGATTGAAAGAGAGTGTGCGCACTGAAAGAAATGTAAAGAGTCGCTGTTTGCAGCAGTGTGCACACTGAAGACGAGTATAAAGAGGAGTTGTTTGCAGGAACTGATTTGTAAGTGTTCTTTAGTCTCTTCTAAATTAACATCGTGATTTTCCTGGACTTAGCTCATGATTGTGGTCAAGGGATACAGATGTTATCTTCCATTTTCCACATGGGAATAAACTTGCATTAATTTTAGCATCGCAGCCGGTTTTTGTAATAGGATGCAATTTGAAGGCATTTCTTGATGTGCTCTCTGTTTTGCCTGATCGCGAGCATGCAAAAGAAACATATCGAACCTCTCCATATTCTCCCTTCTTTGAAGACCTCCTCTTCACTGGAAACCCATTTTCGTTGCCATAATTAACGTAGTATTCAAATAATTCATCAATCGTATCAAACATCATTCCTGCTTCCAACTTTCTTATATTCTCTTCTAAATTAACATCTTTCTCCATGTTAATATCATTTTTTGTGTCTTGATGAGCATTCACCATATCATCCTTTCCATCTTCGTTCATGTAAACATCACTTGTATTATTAGAAGCATCCATCGTCAATTCTACACAAAAGAATCAAATTAGACCTCAAATATTATAATACCCAGTAATAAAATTCTAAAAGGACTTTGAATATTATAAAGAACTAGTTCAGATCAAATATGCGCAAAATCGTAAAATAAATAAATAAAAGGAAGATTTGTTCATATCACAACTACATCACAACATAATTCTCGCCATCGAAATTATAAACGAACAAGTTTAGATCAAATATGCGCGAAATCGCGAAATAGCAAGAGTAAAGCTTTTCATTTTTTCTAGATGGAAGACTTGTTCATATCACAATCAAATCATAACGTATACAAACTACAACTCTTTAAAAATATACTTACCTCCAATTCTTCAATATACTTTGATTCTTTTTTTATTATAAACTTTTGTTGTCGATAAAAGATGAGCTTTTACTATTTTACATACTTGAATAGATAAGAGATGAACAGAGAGGTGATAGATGAGAAGAGGAATAGATGAAGTTTGGTTTGATTTGTTGTTGAGAGATGAGATAGTCGCAAAAACCGATAAATTTAGCGCCAAAATTAATTTCAGAAGCTAAAGAGTCTGAAAGAGAAAAGAGAAAATGGTTTAGAATTTTAGACGTGGATTATACACGTGGGCTGGACACGTCAAGTCGTCCCCAAAGTCGTCATTTTTAGTAGTCAGCGTAGAGTTACTCAAATCGATATTTCCAAAATTATTTTCAAAATTTTACAAATTTGCACTGATATTTGACGAAATCGAAATAACTTCCAAAAAAATGACGTTATTTTCCGAAAAATATTATATATTTAGAATGTATGCTTCGAAACCACTCGGTCTCCACCGAAATCCGAAATTTAGTACCTTGGGTAGGATACCCTTTTGGATCACCCCAATCCTCTGTTTCAGACAGATATAAAGAAGATAAACATACATTTAGCTTTGAAGAACTTCTTAGTTGAATT